TAGTTGGGACTGCAGTGGGCATGTGTCGCATACAAGTGAATAAGAATGACAAGTGGTTACTAGTTGGGACTGCAGTGGGCATGTGTCGCATACAACAAGTGAATAAGAATGAAACTTAATAATAATGAAACTGTGTAAAAAAGTTTTGAAACTGGACTGACGCTTTTCCTACTGTCTATCTACTTCATACCTTCACCAGCTTGAAGTGCTTGCCCAGAGATCTGATGCAAAGTGCAAGGGAGCCAATACAAACCAAGATTACTGCTGCATCGACAGCAACATAGACATTTCTTACAGCAATATCATCTGCAATGTAGAGAAAATTTAAAATATAGGACATTGAACAAAGGAAAAATGTCTGACTTCTCTAGCTTTGCTACAGAAACTGAATTATGCTACATTTACAAATCTATGTTGGGTGGATTTGCCAGACAGCTTCAGGAGTGTTGTAGCAGGAGTTCACTCGCCTCTCAACTCTGGGGTGTCAAGTTGGATTCCTGGACTTGGCATTGTGTGAGTAGATTTTGTTAGGTCTCTCCCTTGATTCAAATGTTTTTCTCTGGGTTCTCCAGTTTTCTTTCACAAAATTCTTAGGCTAAATTCCAATTTGATCTGTGAGTTAGTCATGACTTTGATCAAGCCAGGGCTGTTTCAGGGTTGGATCTATGAGCTAGCCATGCCCTTACTTAAATCAGCACAGAGGTTGTTTTAGGGTTCAATCTGTGGGTAAGCCATGCCCTGACTTATATCAGCACAAAGGTTGTTTCAGGGTTAATAATCTGTGAGCTAGCCGTGCCCTGACTTATATCTGCCCAGAGGTTGTTTCAGTGTTCAATTTGAGTTAGCCGTCCCCTGAATTAAATAAGCACAAAGGTTGTGTCAGGGTTTTATCTGTGAGTTAGCCTTGCCTTGACCTTGTTCAGCCCAAAGGCTGTTTCAGGGTATTAAAAAAACTTTTTGAAAAAAGCCCTTGGCCTTGATTTTCAATGCAAACCCTTGTCCTAGCATTTTAACCACTATTACTATGACCACTAACCCCTACCATCTTGAAAGCCAGTATTCTTGCACTTGCTGGCTTGAGCTATTAAATCCACTGGTATTTTTCCATCATGGTTGGAATTGTCAAATGTTATCTAGGAGTTAAAAGTTATAAAGTTGTTTTAAGAAAGGATATGCCAAGCATGTCTGTTGTAAAAATTCCTTATGGAATAAATCTATTAATCTCACTTCATGATTGGTTGGAAGAACATGCTTTATGAGAACACATGCATTTTCTGTTTCCAAAAAATAGCTTTTCTAATTTGATTTTTTTAAACAAAACAAAAAACGTGATTTCTGAGTTGTGTATGCAGTCCTATGACTAAACGTTGTCATTTGATCGGCTTCATCCCTACGCACCTAGACCGAAAAGGATCATGGGGATAATTAATTCACAGTTACTAGCTGCCGAATACATATTATCTAACACGTCTTGAGCTCGCTTTTTTCAATCCCATTCAATTTGCTAAAACCATGCCTCGAGCATACGGTGAAGATTTAAACTGGCGAGCAGTTTGGATGACGCAATTTCTGGGTAATTTACCCGTTATCCTTTTCAGCCTAGGCTCATAGGGATGATCCGATCAACGACAATGTTTAGTCAAAGGACTGTAGTTACAAAGCGATTGGGGTCTGGCAGAATACTTGATGAGAAGTGTTGAGAGTTACTCTGCTACATGTTATGCTTCTTCTCACACTTCCCTTGTGTTCTGCCAATCCCCACATGCTTTAAAACTTGTTGTCAATGCTAGGAACTTAAGGTTAATTCTTTCTTATTGTGTTTGTTAATGCAGTATCTTGGTCTCACAAAAGTATAATGGCAGAATTTTTTGCATGCTCAGAGTAAACAAACATTTATTTTCTCACTTCTAAACTCTTCTAAATCCTTAGAAAGCGTGCTGAAAGGCATGTCTGTGCAAACACTTTTCTCTAGTTTCAATGGCACACATGTTTTCTATTTCTTCAATAACAAATTAAAATTTAAAAAGTAAAGAAAGCAGAATTATGACACACCAACTGAATGAAATGCTGATCATGGATACATAAAAAGTGAAACCTAAAGCAACAGCAATTTTAAAATAATTAAAATAATTATGAACTGACTTACAGTAATGTTGAACTCATAGCATTCTGGGTCATCTTTGAGATGAAGAGACCTAATTCCCGCAGCCGTGATAGAGATTTTAATAGACCTGCAAAGTAAAAATATAATTTATACTGTTTCTTACTGCTATGTAATTGAAACAGGGGGGTCATGGAAACCCTTATTCCTTGACATAAGATTTTTTCTCACAGTTCCCGAGTTTTCCTCCCTCCATGAAAATAATATGTGGAGTGAGAGTTGTGTGTGTGGGAAATGGTAAAGGTGGGAAGTGAATAATGAACATTGTGGAATACAGCAAATTCCCAAAAGAGTACCTTTTGCAAGGACCACAGAACATAATTTTGATTGGGGAAGGGGGCCAAGGACTGCTTAACAAAGGCAGGAGCACCTAGGGGGGGTTTGTGGGCAGGCCCCACTGAAAAAGTTCAGTTCTGACACCCTTAAAAGTGCAATTTCTAGTGTTTTGAGGGGCATTTACAACATATTTCTCGCATAAGGTATTGATTTTTTAAATAGCAAAAAAGTAATTTGAAATACAGTGGCAAAATTATTGGGGAGGGGCTATAGCTTCATTCCCACGGCTCAAATACAGAAGCCATTTAAGTGCCAGGGAAGTCTCCCAGTTTCTTCTGTTTATTTTTCATCCTTACCTATCAAAGTCCTGTGTAATGTTATTCCTGATACGGAAGCTTGTAAGATTTGCATCACTATGAATTGGTGGCAATAACTTTTGACATACTACATTCATAAATCAAGGAAAAAAATAGTTCAAACATTTTTGATAATAGCTGACTTTGCATAAAACTTCAACCTCTGAAATCTTTACCATACACTATTAATTTCATCAACTTGATGTAGTGACATGGATGAGACAGTTCCCCCACGTCCCCCTAGGCCCATATTTAAACCAGATAATTTCTGTTACATTACATATTATTACTGTTACATACTGTAATTAGTCAGTCTTAAAGGATACGCCAGTTTGTGTTTCGATTAAATATATAAGTGTGATTGCCAGGATCAATGAAGCCCTCTTGATATTCATACTTGCAGAGTTGAAGAGGGCGAGAAAGATTGTCAGACTGTATGGTTGGGATATAAATACCAACTGGTGTCTGTCGGATGGTATAATACTGGAAATAACACAAATATTGAAATTGTTAGAAGAGGAACATTTAGTAATAGTGCAGCGCAACCATGACGTCATCAAAATGAAGACAAAGGCGAAATTCAGACAAACAAACTTACAAGTTTACTTTCAGCAGATAATTTTCACAGCCGATCGCAGTTGATCTCAGTTTACATGGGATATTATTGTAACTTTAAGTAAAAATAATAAAATCGGTTCGTATAATCCTCGTAGCTGTTAAACAGAATGCAATGTTTGTCCAAATCTTTAAGCTATTTTTAGAATCAGTGCGCTGCACTATTGTCATCACTCAAAACTCCAGATGCTGGATTGGCCTCACTTCTGGGATCAGAAAACAAATGCAGAAATTAGAATAACAAAACAAGCAACTCCTGGATTTGAGTTGAGTTTGTTTGATGTGTTATTCTCTCCCTTGCCATGAAGGGTAACTTCTCCGGGTTCTCCGGTTTCCTCCCTCCATAAAAATCAACATGTGAGTTGAGTGTCGTAATTCTATAAAAATATAGAATGTAGTGATAGTGCAAGTGGAGGGAACCTCACAGAAGAGCCCCGTATGGGGAGTGGTGGTTGTAAAATATGTTATAAAAATATGTTATAACCCCTGCATCAAAATTGGATAACATAGGGCTAAACATTTACTGACAATGCCTGGCCAAAATTGGAACTTGTATGACTAATTTATAGAGGATAAAAAATTTATATTGACTGGTCACATTGCATTAACTGGGCACATGTTGATTAGTCTGATGATTGAACAGCCATTATCTATATCATTAGCTCTGAGACAACCTAAGTATCCCCCTACAACAAAATTGAGAGACAAGTTTTTGGTATGTTACATTAGCTAGTCAATCTTTAATAGACTTCTTTACTCTTAGACAGATCTTTACTTTGGTCATAACGTTTTCCCATTTTAGACCACATGTCATTCTCTTGAGAATAAGATTCTTCATTGGGATTGTATCCATGTTCATGTGTCTTCTCATGTGCAACCATTAAACGAAGAAATTAATGGTACTCTAAGGCCAGGAGTGACATGTAGTCTTAAATGAGAAAACATTGTATGCCCAAGGTTAAGGTATCTATTGCACAAACTATAAGTTATTTTGCTGCTGCTTACCTGAAAGACTGTATGTTGGACTTGCTTATAGTAATGTTCCTTTGTGAAGATAAAAACTCCATCATCTGAATAATCCAAAATGAAAAGATGTTTGAAGGTATTCAAGCTGTTTTCCATGTACGTAACAACTGAGAATAGTTCTTGTCCAAAGATAACAACCTTGAAACAAAAATAATAATCATACTTTTAAAAGGAATTTAACATTTGCCCACCTAGTCAGGTGAAAGTGTTCAAAGTGCAAAGAGGTGTGTACAAAGAACGGAGTTTGTTATTTTTGGAAAAATGTAACCTTATACACCAAATGGAGCGGAAGGAAAGGAAAAAGGTGGACTCAAGACAAGGACAAAGAAATAATTTGGTGACATGCATTCCTTCCTATGAGAAAACGAGGACAAAAGACCTGACTTTCATGTTGGTTGATATGAAAAACAACATGAAGACTGAATCTTTAGGGGAAGTCAACCAAATGTCGTCACTGCTCATCAAGAATACTAAATGATTTAAGATACACTACGACAATGATGATGATGACAGGAGATGATAATGATAAAATAATCACGTTATAAAATCAAACTCCAATAAATAGTTAATTACCTGGGCTGTAACTAAGAAAATCTTGAGCATTTGAATAAACAATTTCCAAGGTTTCCTTCCTCTCTTCTTAAACTTCTCATAAGGATTCATAAAATGAGCTTTCAGCCGTTTCCTCATGAATGCAATTCCATTCCTTTGGCTGCCGTATTCTTCAGAATCATAGATCGAATCATAATGTACAGAACTGTCTCTGTCATTAAGAAGACGTTCATTCACATCGTCTTCAATGTTTGTGTTTGCATTAATCGAACGAGCAAGATGCCTTGATCCACGAGATCCATAATGTACAGGATTCTCTCTCCCAAGTGGTCGAGGTTCACTCAATTCCTCATCAGTGTTTAAATTAAACGAACGAGCAAGATGCCTCGATCCACGAGATCCAACCCTCGTACTGATAAAATTCATGTTTTCAAAGGATCCTGAGACTCGGTCAGTTAGTTCTGTAGGATATGGTCTCAACCTTTGATAATCAGCATCTCTGTACTCTGTCATTTCTACTGAAAATCATGACTCCTTCGGTTTTGTCACATACGTAGTGAAATCCTTATTAAAAAATTACTTTCGAAAGTTTCTTTCACTTTTGTTTAAAGCTATATCTCCCTAAAAGCTTGCTATTTTCCTTCCTTGGGTGTCAAAAGACTGAGTGAATAAATATATAGCATAAAAATAAGATTTTTTGGCTCCAATTTTTGTTCAAGTTTCGTCTTGTCTATTAAATTTCTTCGTATATATAAACAATCACGTGCCGTCACGTGGTGAAGTGTTTTTTTCTCCTCGTCAGCATTCCGAATTCTTAGCGAGTTATAACCGAGTGCTCTCGTGAAGTGGTCGGAAAAAGCGGTGACCTAGGGGAGAGGGAGCGGGGAACACAAAACACTAGTGCCCAGTGTTCTGGGGAACACAAATCCCTGTGTCAGGGAATGGGATTTCCTATTTTCTAGTATTTTCCACGTACCTACAGTAAAGAAGTCACAGAGCGATCTGAGCGCATTGATCAGCTATGCCCCTTTGATTAGCTTTTAATTTTATGGCTTCGATTTAAGAAAGTGGAAAACAATTTCTCCATTTCTCACCTTTTTACGAGGTCGGAAAAATGGTTCTGACGTTAAAAATAAATAAATAAAAAAAAAGTTGTCCGGTCGAAACCATACGAAAATGTCTCTGGATAAAATATCATGCACGAGGGAGTTCGTAACCCAGCATTGTACTATTACTAGCTGACAGGGAAGGGAAGGGAAGAAAGGCAGTCATTTGTTTTGACTTGTTCCAACTGATGTCAGAGGCAAATATTGATCAAAGTATTTCATTCTTTTGATCGGCTATCAAATTATGGTAAATATTTCACCGCCACTCCGTCTGAGGTACACTGTCAATAAGCATTTAGTTAATTCCTGGAGAATTGACTCAGTCAACTCTTCTTGTTACTCGGGAACCCAGGGATAAAGTTCTGTCGCTCATTTATCGCACCCAGAAAAAATTCCGCTCCTTTCTCGCTTTTTTCTGGTAGCGAGAAAGGAGCGACATGAACTTTACCCCTGGGTTCCCGAGGATGATGATTCTTATAATTTAGCATTAGGAGCCTGGAAAAAAATTCAAAGTTTACTGACCAAATTCAACTTCTCCTTCTCTTGTACAGTCTAACGTATATTAAAAAGAAATCAAGTCTTCAAATTAATTCTGTAAAAGAAATTTGATGATTTCTACTACTTATTTAATACTTACTTTTATTTAGAAAATTTCCGAAATAATTGGCTCCGAGGAAATGTCTGAAAAGCCAAAGAAATGATAAGTTTTCCTGTGAGACCCTTGAACTTTGAATAGCAGTACGAACTTTCGAAACTATGGCTTGTCATCTACCGACAAATATTTACTGATTAGCTTTGGTTTTGAAAATTCTTTCTTTAAGGAAGGGCTTAGCTCATTTTGCGGAACCAGAAGCATTGGATGCACGTCAATGGCAGATGTTATGCATGCATGCAAATCAAATGCAAATGAGATAACATGCAAGCATTGTATCGACCCGATAGCCTCACTTGGATGATTCTTAAAACAAAAGAATATCTCAATGCGAGCTCAACTGTAATACGGATTGAGGAAGAAAATTACAGATAGCCAGGATCGGACGGAAATTCAGAATGGAACAAGTCCGGTTTGTTACCAGATTATTTAGGACGATAGTTTGAAAAATGAGGGGAATATCGCAGTAACACCTTGATTGTCAGTGGCCAATTACTGAATAGTGCTTTAATACGTTCAGAAATCCATAACTAGATAGTAAAACAATATACGATTTCTAGTCATCGTGTTGCAGCATATGTCATGAACACATGCTCTAAATAAATGCGCTATAGTATAAGAAAATCCTATGCTCCCTGGCCAAGTGGGTCTTACTGATGTTACAATTCAGCGTTGTATTCTGAAAGAAAATCCGATTTGGTAGGCTAAGATACAGAGTTTAAGGCTTAGAAACCCTGAACGCTCAACTGTAAGCCAGTAGTATTAAATCCATAATAGGCATAGAGTGAAGTCATTTAAACCCCGTGAAATAGATATTAGACTAATATACTTTAGTAAACCCTAATTTCACTTTTTCTCTTGTGTCTATTTGACTATTACACGTCGACTAACATTTTCTATTTCACGTGTTAAATGCCTTCACACTAAGAGAATATTAAAAAATTGGCTTTAATTTCGACGGTTATGTCTCTTATTTGTACCGTCTTTTTTTCCTGCCCTGTTCGCCATAATAATTCCCTATTTCGTCTGAAATCTCAGAAAGTAAACTAACAAAACAAGACCACACACATAAGAAAAATCAAGCGTTCATTTTGACGATTATGTCTTATTTTGTATTTTTATTCTTTCCTATCTCATTGGTCATAATGATTCCCCATTTCGCGCGTCTCCATGCAATCAGCTGGTTGAGTGCGTCAAACCGTGGGAGGACACACGCATGCACACTGGACATCAAAACTCCATATTTTCATTTCGTTGCAGATTTGTCTCGGTACGTGACGATATGGATTTGCGCTGACGAAAGTGACTGATTCTGTCAGTCGTATATATATATATATATATATATATATATATATCCCGGCGTGAACTAAAGGCATAGGAAGTTTGTCACAACATATTGCATGTGATTCGTTTCTCACTCGTTCTGTGCTTCATGCAGATTGAGTACTACAATACAGATAGATACCCAAATACTTTGGTAAGTATGAGCAGTAATTCTTTACTTTAGTCCCAAAATCCGAGACCCTTTTGCAACTGCACAACGTTCTCCGTTAGCCATACTGAGCTAACACTTTAACGTACATTCCCAAAGGTGGTAAGGTTTCAGCCTGCTTTAAACAGAGCCGGTTTCACAGTGCTAGTTAGGCCAAACGTGATTTCCATTGCAAATTTATTGCATTAAGTCTCTCTTGTCAATAGTTATAACAATTTTTTGCGCAAAGTTCGGGCCTTGTTTAAAGAAATCTATTCTCAAAAAATCGTAATAAAGTTTTTTGCGCGAGCGGGAAAAAATGGTTCTGACGGTAAATCGTGTTTGTTTTAAAACCAGGACCTTCCAAACGTACTGGTAGATGTGACTTTGAGTATAGGTTAGATACGCGGAGCTGGCAAGTATGAGCAGTAGAGTAGGGCTTTAGAGTCATATTTTCATGATGCCAAATCGAGGCTCCAAAACAATCCGGCATAAGAACCAAACCTCTGCTGACTTCTTCTCGACTAAACATTAAGTAGCTTTTGGAATTAAACATGGTTTGCGAAACTAAAACTTACGATTCATCGAATATAGGTTTAGTTGCATACTTCGCGCTCGCGCATAAAAAGGAGGTTGATATGAAAGGAAGTGTACTTAGCCAACTGCGATTGAGCTCAAGGGGATTAACTCAACAAACTTGTTGTCCTTCCTGTCAAGAATGTGATATTTTAAACCCTAATTATTGTCAAACTTGTGTAAGAAAGCATCTCCATTAAGTACCACTTCCAACCTTCAGTATGGTTCTTGCTCTCATCCAGAATTAACTGCCTCTTCGATCCGGTGTAAAATTGCATGCCCTTGATTTGATTTTACAAACGCGATGGGAATTTTATTTATTCTATTTTCATTTCTTAGTCATGGGAGAAGATCTTATTGATTTAAGTTATCAATTTGGACATTTTTGTCATATTTAATTACGAAGATTAATTTTGGCGCGCTTTTTGTGCGGCTTGCGTCGTGCGTCGTGAGGGCTGAAGTACTCTAGTGACGTCATAAACGTATCAAACGAGAGTAATATTCCGCTCAGACACAATACTCTGGATAAAACATCCTAAAAATAATTAAATTTAAGATATCGAAGGAAATTTTCTTATATTTTCTATCTACTTTAAATAAGCTCAATTTGGGTACCAGAAAACTGTCCGCGGAGGTCTGGAACCTAGTTAACGATCTGAATTCATTGCCTTCAAATTTTAACGAAAATGCAAAGCATTATTCGAATTTAATTAAAGGGAATTTGCACTGGAATATACGGCACTACGGTCTTTGTAAGTAAAACGTTTGCATCTTTAGGGAACGCGTGATCAGAACCAAATTAGTAGACGAGAATCGACACTTCACACGATTGAACCGGGGTCCCTGTGGTTTATCTATTTGTTTGACTTGCCAAGAAGGCCATTTGAAAATTTGGGGAAACCGCTATCATCATGGGTAAAAAATTGCAAAAGAAAGAAAGCAAAAAGAAAGGGATGGGATGAAAGACAAAAAGGAAAAGAATCCATCCATCCATCCATCCATCCATCCATCCATCCATCCATCCATCCATCCATCCACACCCAATTTATTCATGCATATGATTCACTCATCCACCCACACATTCATCCACAATGACGTGTATATCCTGTTATTTCTCCCCCCAAAATCCCCTTTTCCCCCGGCCGTCTGTGGGTTTCATAGAGATTATCACATGTATAGAGCTTGATATCGTTTTTATTCGCGACTTTTTCATATCATATCGCGAACAAGCAAGTCCTCGAGGATTGATTCAGTCCATTTCACTTTCATAATTTCCTTTTCCTTGACATTGTCTTCCTCGTAGTTGCTTTTCATCCACTTCATACCTCAGTAGTCTCTAGCGCCGTCTTCTTCCTCATTTTCGCCATTCCTTCCATGTTAAAAGTATTCCTTTCTCGATCGGCATAAACGTATCATTCCAATTTAACTTCAACTACTTATTTTCTTTGTCTTTTTCCCCAGCCAGACCTGATATATTGATTTGATTATAAATTCATTGATGACATAATCAGTCTCCACTTCCAAGAAAAAGCTGCGCCAAAAATAAATTGACAGGCCGCTTTAAAAGAGAGTGACTCAATACATATCAGGCACATCATTTCCGGCTTCCACTCGAGAGCCCAGCAAGACTCATCACTGAAAATCAACGATAATTTCGGTAAGTTACGCTTTTATGTATTAACCAAAGAAATTTTGCATAAATACACCTAAAATTTATCCTCTAGATATGATTATTAGATTCCGTAATTATCTATTTAAGTCATTGTGCATAAATCTTCGATGTTTGTGGGCTCCCTTGAGCTAGGAATTACTGTCGACTCGTGCCTGTACTGGTGAGTGGCTGTTGACGTTATAATTGCCACTTCCTGTTTCTTTAGTCTTGGTTTTAAGAATCAAAATATCTCCGGCAATTGCTGACAAACCTCCAGCTCAATTACCTTTAAATTTCTTTTA